TTTTATAGCTTTACATTTTATATTTGATCTATAATCCATTTGAGTTAATTTTTATATAAGGTATGGGGTTTAGGGGGTTTTTGGTTTGGGTTTTTTTGCATATTGGTATCTTATTGTTCCAACACTATTTGTTGAGACATATCTCTGATGTCTTTTTTTTTTTTTGCTGATATCACACATCTTCATTATTGTAGCTTTATAGTAAGACTTAAAATCAGGTAGTGTAATTCCTTCAACTTCATTCTTCATTTTCAAAAGGGCTTTAGTTACTCTAGTCCTTTTGCCTTTCCATAAGTTTTATAATCAGTTTGTCTTTATTTTTAAAAATCCAATTTGGATTTTTATTAGAATTGCAATAAATCTACAGATTAATTTTGGGAGAACTGATATCTCTGCTATGTTGTCTTCCAATCCATTAACATGATATGTCTCTGCATTTATTTAAGTTTTCTTTTATTTCATTCATCAGCATTTTGCAGTTTTTGGCAACCATATTTTGCACACGTTTTGTTAGATTTATATCTAAGTATTTAATTTGGGGGGAGTTATTGTAAACGGTATTGTCTTTTTAATTTCAATTTCCAATTGTTCACTGGTAGCATATACTCAGTTCTATGTATTAAACTCATATCCTGCACCTTTGCTAAACTCACTTACTAGTTCCAGGAATTTATTTTTTGTGATTTGCTTCATGGGCACTTGAATAGAATCTGTATTCTGTCGTCACTGGGTAGAGATCTATAAATTACATTTAGATCTAGCTGGCTGCTGCTGCTGCCCAATTTTTCTGCATTGGTGATTTCCTCCCTACTAAGTTCTGCTCTTTGGGATCAGATCCACACATGTGCAGCCCACAGGCCAGCCTAGGTGCTCATGAGCAATTTTTAAGGATACCCACCTCCGTGGTATCCCTGGTAATTTCCAATTCCCTGGACTCCCCTTTTTCAATCCTCTGGCCAGAAACTTAGGGCTTTAGTTACCTGCTCTGCTGTGCACTTCTGGAGGCTGCACCCACACCTTGGTCATGTGCTGAGAGGACAGAGAGAGAGAGAGAGAGAGAGAGAGAGAGAGAGAGAGAGAGAGAAAAGCAGCGAGGGTCGGCTCCATCCAGTAGGACCACAGCTCCTCCTATCTGAGCAGGTGGGTTTTGCATCTCTGCAGGCCCTGCTGCTGGTCAGTTCCATTGATGCTGCCAAGCTCCCTCGCCTTGGAATTTCCTGGAGACCCGCAAGAATAGGGAAAAGGAAAACTAGTGATTTCCCTCATTCTCTGAGCATCAGGAGTCTCCTTTCTTCCTAGAATCAGAGGACTGCTTGGAGCTCTCTCTGTCCACGTTCCCACTTCTGAGTTTCCTCTTGACTTGAGTCTAAACTGGGGATACCAGAATAAAAATAGAAAACTTAGCGCCATTCAATGGTAATTGGAATTCTGGCCTTCTTCTCCAATCCACCTGCTACTGTTTACTTCTTGGAGTCCACAAGCAGTTGCACTGAGTATTCTGTCCAGGCTTTGGAGCTGCGTTCTTTGGAGAGACGGGTAGAGTGTGCTTCCTCCATTTTATCTGGAACTGGAACCCTATTTCAAACCATGATCTTTATGAAGCTTTTTGAAATGTTGTTAAAAAAAAAAAAAGAACCATGAAATAGTTGCTCTTATGAGGTGTTGGGTATGCAAGAAGTACATTGGTGGCACACACAGTCAGCTGGGATGCAGTGAGCCACACTAGCCGAGAGTCACAGGAATAACTGATACGTCAAAATTCTTCCTAAAATAACTCTCACATTCCTCAGTTTGGGTTTAATACTCTGAGTAACCAGAGACTTAGGAGATTAAATGGTTGGCACAGCAATTAGCGCTCACAATGGACAAATGTGTCTTTGTTTCAGCTGACTCACTAACATCATTTGGCACTTGGTGCAGCACAAATGCCTCACAGATGGTGACAAGCTCAACACACTTTGTTTAACTGAATTCTGTGAAGGTGTTATACACTGTCATTCTCTTTAAGCACTCATTAATTTTGTGAAGTAAAGTTCATAATTGTCATTGACGTTATGGCTTTTCTGGGTTGGTGGTGATTGACTGGAAGGAATACTATTGATTCTCTTGAGCGGAGTGCAGTCTGGTGGATGGTATTCTTAGCTGAGCAGATACAGACGAATAGAGCCATTTATTTATCAAGGACAATCCCCTTTGTTTCCAAAGGGCTTTCCAACTATTGATATCTTCCTCATCACATTTCTGCAAAGTAGTTGTCCACATTTTAGAAGCCAGAAAACACAATGCTCCCAGAAACATGTATTACCCGTGAAGGAATGGGCTAAACTCTAACAATGAGATGCTGGGTCTCCCAGGAGGTTAGAGCTGGGGAGCTTGGATGAATCTCCAGTCCAAAGACAGAAGACAATTTTTCTCTACGCTTATTTTATTTTTATAATATTTATTTCTTTTATTTCTTTTATTTTTGCTGCACCGGGTCTTAGCTGCAGCACACGGGATCTTTTTGTTGCAGCATGAGGACTTCTTAGTTGCAGCACGCATGCAGGATCTAGTTCCCCGACCAGGTATCGAACCCAGGTCCCCTGCATTGGGAGCATGGAGTCTTACCCACTGGACCACCAGGGAAGTCCCGTTCTACGTTTATTTAGGCATAACTTGTGTGTAATAAAATCCACCTGCTTTAGATGTACAGTTTGATAAGTTTTGGCAATTGTATACAGTTATTTAACCATCATGAGAAGCAAGATACAGAACATTTCCACAACCTTAAAAGGTTCCCCAGGCCCCTTTGCAGTCATTCCCCTCCCTCACCTCGACCCCAGGCCACCCCAACTGCTTCTGTCACTCTGGTTCTGTGGGGCTCTCAATACAGGCCTCTGCACAGTCCACTTCCTGCATCCTGGGTGCTCCTACCCACCCACTCGTCCTGCGTGTCCCTGCCCCTAGGAAGCACCCCGAAGCCCTCAGACCAGGCCAGGTGACTCCAAGGTTCCCCTCACTGACCCCACAGACTTTCCCTCAATGCCTGAAGCACTACCACAGGGACCACTGCCACTTCCAGGCCAGCTCTTCAGGATAAAGATAACTTGGAGACGGGGGGGCATTTATTCAATTCAATAAATATTTATTGAGCACCAGTACATGCTTTAATATATTTAAATAAAACATAGGATAATCACATTTCCTAAAAACTCTGAGGGCTTACTGCAAGGTCAGTTGGATCTCTGCTCTTTTGCCAGGAAAGTATGAGATCACTGAGCACTTCCAGGGGATAAGAAAGTCACTTTCCTCCTCCCTAGGGGACAGCTGGGGGCAGTGGGTGGGGCCTGGGCCCTGATTACGACAGCTGCCCCACTTACCAGCTGTATGACCTCGATAAAGCCAAATTGCTACTCAACTTTCTAACCTGCGGAATAGTGCTTACCTTGCAAGATGGCTGTTGCTGTGACATCCCTATGCTCAGCCCTCACTACCTCAGCGTCCGTGGGGCGAGCTCTGACCCATCGCACAAGAGGACAGGATCAAAGACAGAGTTCTCACCTTGGCTGCACATTAGAATCACGGGGGACGCTTTTAAAAACCCTGACACCCAGGCCACATCCCAGGCTGATGAAATCAGACTCCCTGGGGACTGGCATTTGTTTTTTGTAAAGCTCTCCAAGCGATTCCAAGGTCAGCCAAGGTCAATAGACACTGATCCAGAAAGAAAAGAGAAGAGAAGTAGAATTATTTCATGTCTATAGAAAGAAAGTTGGGGGAGGTTGTGATGATTACTTATTGTTAATTATTACACTATATCCTATACAGTATGAGGTTTTAGAACTACAAAAGTTCTAAACTGCGAAACAATTGAATATTCATGATCAAATTTAATCTTCAGAGAAATTTTAAAGATGAGGAGTCTGAGGCCTGGAGAACTTACTGTCAAACAGAAGGTGCATCAAGTTAATGGACAAATAGGTCTGCAGTGAATGTCTGGCTTCAAACCCCTCTCTGCTCCCACCCTGCCCCACTGCCCTTGTCAGTCCCTCTGAGACAGCTGTGATCCAGACCTTCATGCTGATTCCAGACCCAGGTGTCCAGATGCCTCTTCAGTACTTCCCCTTGGATGTTAACGCCCAGGCAACTCAAACTCTGTCCAGCACTGCTCAAGGTCACTCTGCATGGCCCTCCTCCTCTGGTTGCCCATCTTTGCACAGGCACAGCCAGTGCAGCTCCACTGACATCCCTCACCTTTGTTTACCACGTGGCGCTGACCACCTCCAGAATGCCTTCATTACCCTTGCCTCTACCCCCTGGTCATAGCTCCTCCCTGGACATTTCCAGTAGCCCACTAACTCCTTTCCCCGCACCCACTCTCACCCTCCAGCCCCTGCTTTTGACCTGTCTGCTAGACCAGCCAAGGTCTAGGAGTTGGGCAGGGGTTTCTTCATGTAAAAAAGGGACCATTTTTGAGTATCTGATATGTATGATTTCACACACAAGCGTGTGCACACACACAGGCACGCACAAACCTCAAAGCTGCTTGCTCGGTTGTGTCAGATGTTGGGACCATTTTCTGTGACAAACCTCTTTAGTAAAGGGCTTGAAAACATTCAGAAGTGTGCAGCCTGCCTTCTGCCAGTTACAGTTGTGGGACCACAAGCAAATTCTATCACTCCTCAAATGTCTCACCTTTAAAATGAGGAAGGCAATGTTGACTCATGGGGATGTGGTGATAACTAAAGACATAAAATGCCTGTCCCACACTACTTGCTGATAAAAAGCCAAGGGGCCGCTCATCTGTAAGGAGGAAGGAAGGACAGAGCTATTTGCTGGGTGCCTGAGACACGCCAGGCTCCAGCAGGGAGCTTCTGCCTTCACATCCCTGGATCCTGTCAACAAACCAGTGTACCTCCCCGTGAGGTCCTGTGCTTGACCTGGGTCTCCCTCAGGTAAATAGCAGGGTCTGTACCTTCCAGAGTCCAAGAGAGCGTGTTCTACGGGGGTTCGGCTGATATTTTCTTTTTCAGGGGATGAACAATCAGTACGTCCGCCGGGAGGTCTTCTGCCGGAACACCTGTGACGAGCTCAAACGCTTCTGGGAAAGAGAAATTGGCAAACAGACTTACTACCGAGAATCAGAAGAGCATCGCCTGGGAAGAAGTGCACTGGCAAAGTATGTGGCTTGTCTATTTTTTATTATTGATAATTAATTTTTAAAAATAGACTTTAATTTTTAGGGCAGTTTTAGGCTCACAGCAAAACTGAGCAGCAAGTAGAGAGCTTTCATATACCCCCTCCCCCACCATACACAGCCTCCCCTACCAGCAACATGCCCCACCAGAGAGGTGCATCTGTTACAATCCATGAACCCACATGGACACATCATACCCACACTTGTCTGTTTTTGTTTGTTTGTTTGTTTGTTTTGGGGGTTTTTTTTTTGCGTTGTGCGGGCCTCTCACTGTCGTGGCCTCTCCCATTGCGGAGCACACGCTCCAGACGCGCAGGCTCAGAGGCCATGGCTCCCGGGCCTAGCCGCTCCGCGGCATGTGGGATCTTCCTGGACCGGGGCACGAACCTGTGTCCCCTGCATCGGCAGGCGGACTCTCAACCACTGTGCCACCAGGGGAGCCCCACACTTGTCTGTTTTTTAAAAGCAAAATTGATTTCCCCAGAGGAATGCTAGATGGGCATCCTAGAGGACATAATTATTTTGATTTTCCATGCATATGGTCCTGTCACCATCTATGGTTATGGGCAGTAATTTTAAAAATTCTTTAGGACTTCCCTGGTGACTCCATGTTTCCACTGCAGGGGATTCAGGTTCAATCCCTGGTAGGGGAACTGAGATCCCACATGCCACGCACCGGCAAAAAATAAATAAATAAAAATAATAAATTCTTCTAAGCTAACAAATGTACACTCTAGTTCTTATCTGTATAAACAGAAAAATCTCTCCTCTCTGTCACCATTTCTAGTGTGTGAGGGTTACACTAAATTTGGGGAGCAGATCAGCAGATGTATCCATGAAGGGCAATCAAGCAAAGGAGACAATGACCAATTAATTCTCAGTGCTCGTTTGGGTCAAGACACAGGATGTCCTGCGTGGTTCTAGGAGGAGGGCCAATGGGCTCTCAGCCCTCTGGTGTGCATCCCTGTTCTAGCCAAGCAAGTCGAGTGGAGAGCAGTAACTCACATGAGCAGACCAGGGTTGCTGTCTCTGGAAACAGTGGCACCTCACCACACTCACACATACTGCCTCTCGATGACTGCAGGGGGTCACCCACAGAACACAGGGAAAGACAGGTCGGGCTGTCTACCCCCTCATAGGGAACAGCTCAGCCACTGTCTGTTCACTAAGACCACAGCTAGTGTGTAGCCAGTTGCTGGTGGGACAGGTGTGTGCTGGCCCAACGGCAGGGCCCGTGACTCCATACTGTCAGTCCATGGTTGCTAGGCTGAGAACATGCATGAACTCACAAGAGTTATATTCACTGTTACCTTCCAAAACCCCATCCTGAGCCCTAGAGGTAAACCCAGCCTCTTCTACATGCAGAGACCTGCTCAGCCATATTCCTGGCCACAGGCAAGAAAAAGCAGACTGTCCTACCTGCTGAGGCGTTGTGTTAGGGCATCTTGTCCAGGGATTCTCAGAGAAGCTGAGTCAGGTGGCCAGTCATCTGGGGAGTCCCTGCCATCTTCCTCCCCCGAGGCCAGGCCACTCAGCATGCTGCACACCAGAGGCCACACTGAGGCCTGTGCCACGTGTGTGTCCCCCAGGGCAGTACACAGAAGGCCTCAGGTGGCGTGAAACTGACCTGCGGAAGATGCAAAAACCTTGTCTCTAAGCAAGGAGTAAGCCAAGGGGTGAATAAAATAAGCTCTGAAACAAACTGTGGTTTATTAAAACATTAAAATATATGTGTGCAGGATCTCTCCATGCACATAAAAAAGACTGCAGGAAAGACACTTTTGGTTGGTGGGGTCGCAAAGCTCTAACTTCTTATTTATCGTTCTCCTGCCTCTTCTAATCTGAACCTGGGCAGTCTGGCTCCAGAGACTCTCTGCTCCTCACCACTACTCCATGTTGTCCCTTCATAAATTGTAGAAGACAGTTCTGGTTCATTATGTTGCTCTGAAGCTTGAATAAGAAAATGTACCTAGAGACTTCCCTGATGGTCCACTGGTTAAGACTTTGCCTTCCAATGCAGGGGGTGCAGGTTTGATCCCTGGTCCGGGAGCTAAGATCCCACATGCCTTGTGGCCAAAAAACCAAAACATAAAACAAAAGCAATATTGTAACAAATTCAATAAAGACTTTAAAAATGGTCCACATCAGGGCTTCCCTGGTGGTGCAGTGGTTGAGAGTCTGCCTGCTGATGCAGGGGACGCGGGTTCGTGGCCCAGTCCAGGAAGATCCCACATGCCACAGAGCGGCTAGGCCCGTGAGCCATGGCCACTGAGCCTGTGCGTCCGGAGCCTGTGCTCTGCAATGGGAGGGGCCACAGCAGTGAGAGGCCTGCGTACCGAGAAAAAAAAAAAAAGGTCCACATCAAAAAAATCTTTAAAAAAAAATGTGCCTAAAGCACCCAGCATGGGGCAGGGCCCAAGGTCAGGGCTCACAAATGTCAGGTCCCCTGCCTCCTCCACACTCCCACTTAATCCAGGATTGAATATAGCAGCACCAAGATGCCAAAGGAAGAGCCCTCCGGAGGAGTAGCAAGTCTCCCTGTGCCTCAGTTTCCTCCTTGTTATTTTTATCATAGAGAAACAAACACTGACAGAAGAGGGATGTTGGGGAGTTACTGCCTTTAATTAGTGGGGAGCAGTAGGTTGATAGTGTTGTTCAACTATATCCTTACTGATTTCTTGTCTGTTTTACTGATGCTTGAAATATGGGTACTGAAGATTTGCAGATCTATTTCTCTTTACAGATCTATCACATTTTGTTCCATGTATTTTGAAACTCTGTATTAGGTACATAAATGTTTAGGATTATTATATACTCTTGATGAATTAAACCGTTTATTACAAAACAACCCTCTTTCTCTTTGGTAATATTCTTTGCTATGAACTCTACCTTGTCTGTTGTTAATATAACCACTCCAGCCTTCGTTGATTAGGGTTAAGATGGGATATTTTTCCATCTTTTTACTTTTAACCTATTTATGTCTTCATATTTAAAATGAGTTTCTTATAGGCAACATATATTTGGATATTTTTTAATGCAATCTGTCAACCTTTGCATTTCAATTGGATTACTTATGTCATTAACATTAATTGGTATGATTGGGTTTAAATCTACCATCTTGTTATTTGTCACCTTTTTCTCTCAACATTTATTTATTCCCTTTCTTTTTCTGCCTACTTTTGAATTAAATATTTTTAATGATTCCATTTAATCTCCTCTTTTGGCTTTTTAACTATATCTCTGTGTGTTATTTTAGTGGTTGCTTTAACATTTACATATACATCTTTAACTTATCACTGTCTACCTTCAAGTGATACATTATTTCCTGTAGAGGGTAAGAACCTTACAATCATATAGTCCCATCTCTCCGCTCCTGGTCTTTGTGTTATTATACAGAGTACAATTTGACTTCCACATATGTTATAAACGCCATATTACATCATTAACAGTTTTGCTTTGAACTGATTATCTTTTTTTTTTTTTTTTGGCTGTGCCGTGTGGCTTGAGGGATCCTAGTTCACTGACCAGGGATAGAACTCGTGCCCCCTGCAGTGGGAGCGCAGAGTCCCAACCACTGGACCGCCAGGGAATTCCCATGAACCACTGACTATCTTTTAAAGAGATTTAAATAGTAAGAAAAAAAAAAATCATTAATACGCACACACACAGATGTCCTTCCAGGTGCTCTTCGTTCCACTGTGCAGATTTCCATGTGGTGTCATTTTTCCATCTGCTTGAAGGACTTCCTTTAACATGTCATATGTGACAGTCTGCTGGTAGTGAATTCTTCCAGTTTTTGCATATCTGAAAACAACTTTATCTCACCTCTGTTTTTGAAAGATAGCTTTGCTGGGTAAATAATTCTAGATTGAAGTTTTTTCCCCCCTCCTGTACTTTAAAGATATTGCACTTTCAAGGGAAATTTCAGAGAATTAAGACTAGAATAGTGCTCAAACAGAAGTGAGAGTTCAAATATGTATATATTTAAATTTGCAAGTCTTCTGCATACCTTTTAAAACCTGAACACAGGCATGCACACACATGCATACACAGACACCTTCAGAATAAAAAGGAAGGAAGCTTCCCTGAACCAAAAGCCATGGAGATGAATACTCCATTTGTGTATATTTTGTTTCTATTTTCAGGCTCAGAGAAGAATGGAAGCAGAAACTGGAAACAAAGCTGAGACTACGGAACAATTCAGATGAGACAGAAAAGCGGGCCAATGTTGGCCAAGAGCTTCACTGACACAAGAGGATACAAAGCACTGAGGTCACTCTGCCAGGACAAGCCAGTGCAAATCCCTGAGTCCCTTTGCTACACCATACAGATCCCATACTATTGTTTCCCCCACCTGTAAATCCTGTGGGGATTTACCTGTGAATCCTTCCCCACTGCTGAGTGGGAATTATTAGCCAAGGCAGTTCTCTCTGCATGGGGACCAGAATATTATCCCCAATGTGTCTAAAGATGAGATTATCTAACAGCAAAGCTCCATGCAGCATACTTTATTTCCATATAATTATCTTCTAATTTTGAAATCCCAATATTTGAAATTCTAAGCACATGAGGGGGGATGATTTTCACGGTCATACTTTAATCATCACACATTAGTTTTGCTCCACATTTCTCCTAGGAAACAGCACCATGTAATCCTTTCTCTTGTTTTCTTTTTATAAGAAGAGAAATGCACCTATCTGCAGAAATAAAAATATTGTAAATAGTCCTTAAAATAAGGTTTACAAATTAACTGATCTAATATTATTTTTCTTCACATGAATTTAATAGGCTTATTCAAAAACATGTTTACGTAGAACCATTCAATAAGATCGGGATAATTTTAATAAAACTTGGTTGCCATGCCATCACTGGTACACATGCTCTTCATTTTGTTGCTTTCTTTTAAATCTCCACATGCTGGCACTGGTTGGCTCTCTGTCAGCTCAGCTAAAGTATATCTGGCCACCCCAACAAAGTGCTTGTCACATAGATTCTGGACTTTGAAATATCATTGTCACTGCCCAGCCATCTCTCAGGTCCCCATACAAGGTTGCTGCTTCTAAAAGTGCAAACTGTACCTAGGCCTGGTGCAACCTTTCCCAACCAGGGCAAAGGAGCAGAGAGATACATGCTGTAAAGTACTTGATGGTTGTAGGCAGTGCCTGCAAAGCCTTACATATTTAAGGGGCAGTGTTACCAGGAGACACAGAGAGCAAGGCAGAGGCAATTCTGAACAGAGCAAGTGTGGTGTTCCAGTCCTCTAAATGCCCTGATGTGCCCTAAAGTGCTTCCATCCACATCCCCAGGGAGCCCAGATGGGAGCCACCAGGAGGCAAGAAGAGTTGGGGGAGCATTTCCTCAGATTCCACACTCATATGATCCAGGAAACAGGGCTTGGAGCCCTGCTTCCTGCTATGGTCTCTCATTCAACCTGGGATTCAATTCAACTAATAAACCATGAATCCCAGCTGGGTTCTTTTGAGATTGATGAAAGAGGAATTTTTGTTGGGTATAAGAGGGAAATAGGAATTAAGTAGAAGGAGAAGAAAAGACAGAGCTTTCAGGCTGAGAGGCTCTCAGAAGAAAAGGCCTCCCATCATGAACCACAAAACGCTGCTGCTGGAATCTAAATGCAGTCAAGTGAGGCAGATAATGCATGTGAAGATTCGTTGTGCATTAATTCATCCACTGCATACCTGGCACTGTGCTGTACGACCAAATACAGCAGAGTAAACCAGAAGTGATGACTCTGGAGGCTACAGTCTAGGGAAGATGGCAGAAAAGCCAAGGCAATAAGTGTGAGGGACTAAATAGCACTGGGAGCCACAGCAGGCAAAGGTGTCCACCTGATGTGGGACCCATTCTGGTCTAGGGAGGGCTTCTTAAGAACAGGGTAGTTAAACCCAAGTAAGCATGATCCAGTGAAGGCAAGATTCAGGGCTCAGGTCCTGGGTGCCTTGAGGGAATACATTTAGCTAAGCTAGAATGGGAGTAAGAAGAAGGCGTAGCAAGAGCTGAATCTGCAGAAATCAGCATTCAGGGCCTTGCTGCATGAGAGTATGAGCTTTTCCCAAGGGCACAGGAAGCCACTGAAGGGTGTTGGCCAGGGGAGGGCCACAGTGGCCATGGTTCAGGAGGATTACTTTGCACAGAAAGATGCAAGGACAAAGGTGGGAAGGCCAGCCAGGAGGTTCTGCAGATGCCTCCCAAGAGGTAAGAAGGCCTACACTAAGTCCTCAGTGCCCTGGCAGCAGGGACTGGGGGGAAAGAGACAGGGAGAGAAGCATGAGTGCCTTTTCTCACAGTACTAGAGGCTTGAGGTCAAAGATCAAAGCGGCAGCATGGTCGGTTTCTGGTGAGAGCTCTTTCCTGTCTTGTAGATGGCTGCTTCTCACTGTGTCCTCACATGGTATGAGGAGAGAGAAAGAGAGAAAGGGAGAGAGGGAGAGGGGGAGAGAGGGACAGAGAGAACAAGCTCTCTGGTGTCTCTTCTTATAAGGACACTAATCCCATCACAAGGGCCCCACCTGCATGACCTTATCTAAACCTAATTACCCCCCAAAGGCCTCATTTCCAAATACCATCACATGAAGGATTAGGGCTTCAGCATATAAATTTGGGGCAGGGTAAGGTTTGAGGGGCAGGGAGGACACAATTCAGTCCATAGCAGAATGGGATGCTTTCAAACTATGTATCAAGTCCTGGACACATCCCATTTATAAAATTGACCAGGCTCAAACAGCAAAAACTTTGAGAGCTGAACTATGGTGTGGAATACCATAGGTTTCAAATTGGCCTCTGGGTAGCACACAAGCAACAGACCACAAAAGCAAAGGCTTTGAAAAGTAATTGACATTTAAAGTGTAGCCCACAAAAGTGGGCCAGGACATGTGTTCTTAACATAAATAGATTGACTGCCTATTAAAATAGATACATAAAAAGGAGAGTCTCCTAGCCTTGTACTCAAAATGTCCAGGATATAGTCCAAAATGACTCATACCAAGAGCCAAGAAAATCTCAACTCAAATGAGAAAGGATACTCAACAGACACTTAGTACTGAGATGACACAGGGGTTGAAATTATATGACAAGGATTTTAAAGCAGTTATATAAATGCTTCAACAAGCAACTACAAGCACTCTTTAAGCAAATGGAAAAAGTAAAAATATCAGCAAAGAAACAAAAGATATAAAGAAGAACTGAATGGAACTTTCAGAAATGAATGCTACAATAACCAAAATAAACAAACAACAAAAATAACACTGGATGAGCTCAACAGCAAAATGGAAAATACAGAAAAAAGGATCAGTGAAGTTTCAGATAGTTAATAAAATTATCTAATTTGAACGAGAAAGAGAAAATAGTTTTCTTTAAAAAAAAAAAAAAGAAAGAAACAGAGTGTCAGGATCTGTGGGACAATAACAGAAGATCTGAAATTTGTGTCACTGGAGTCCCAAAAGAAGAGGATGCCCATTTTCACGACTTCTATTCAACATAGTACTGAAGGTCTAGCCAGAGCAATTAGGCAAGAAAAAGAAAATAAAAGGTTTATCTCTGTTCACAGATGACATGATCTTATATACAGATAACCCTAAAGATTACATACACATACAAAAGAAACTGTTAGAACTAATAATAAATGAAATCAGAAAAGTTGCAGGATACAAAATAAACACACAAAACAAAATGTATTATTGCATTTCTAATACACCAATAATGAAATATCTGAAAAAGATTATGAAAAAAATTCCACTTGTAATAGCATCAAAAAGAATAAAATACTTAGGAATTAACCAAAGAGGCAAAAGACTTGTACACTGAAAGCTACAAAACACTGCTGAAGGAAATTAAAGATGCAAATAAATGGAAAGACATCCCATGTTTACAGATTGGAAAATTTAATATTGTTAAGATGTCAATACCACCCAAAGCAATCTACAGATTCAATGCAATCCAATCAAAATCCCAATGGTGATTTTTACAGAAATAGAAAAACTTGCCCTAAAATTCACATGGAATCTCAAGGAACTCCAAATAACCAAAACAATCTTGGAAAAGAAGAAGACAGTTGGAGGTCTCATACTTGCTGACTTCAAAACTTTCTACAAAGCTAAAATAATCAAAACAATGTGGTGCTGGACACATAGGCCAATGGAATAGAATAGAGAGCCAAGAAATAAACTCTTGCATATGTGGTCAGATGATTTTCAACAAGGGTGGGAAGACCATTCAATAGGGAAAGGACAGTCTTTTTAGCAAATAGTGCTGGGAAAAGTGGATACCCACATGGAAAAGAACGAAGTTGGACACATACCTTATACCATTTACAAAAATAAACTCAAAATGGATCAAAGACCTAAACATAAGGGCTAAAACTATAAAAATCTTAGAGGAAAACAGGGGGAAACTTTATGACATTGAATTTGACAATGATTTCTTGGATTTGACTTGGATATGATAACAAATAAAAATAGATAAATTGGACTACATCAAAATTAAAAACTTCTCTACATCACAGGACACAATCGACAGAGTGAAAAGGCAACCCATGGAATGGGAGAAATCATTTACAAATCATATACCTGATAAGGGATTCATATCCAGAACATATAAAGAACTCCTAGAACTCAACAACAAAAAATAAACAACTTAATTAAAAAATGGATAATGCATTTGAGTAGACATATTTACGTAGAAATTCAATATAAACCTCCAAAGAAAATATGCTAGTGGCCAATAAGCACATGAAAATGTGCTCAACGTCATTAATCATTACGGAAATGCAAATCAAAATAACAATGAGATACCACCTCACACCCATAAGATGGCTACTATCAAAAAATACAGAAAATAAGAAGTGTTGGTGAGGATGTGGAGATGTTGAAAGCCTGTGCACTATTAGTGGGAATGTAAAATGGTGCAATTGTTGTGGAAAAAATATATCAGTTCCTCAGAAAATTAAACATAGAATTATCATATGATCCAGCAATTCCACTTCTGTGTATACACCCAAAAAACTGAAAGCAGGATCTTGAAGTGATGTTTGTACACTTATGCTCATAGCAGCATTATTCACAATAGCCAAAAGGTAGAAGCAACCCAAGTATCCATCAATGAATGAATGGATAAGCAAAATGTGGTATATCCATACAATGGAACATTATGCAGCCTTAAAAAGGAAGGGATGTCTGACACATGCTACAATATGGATAAATCTTGAGGACATTAGGCTAAGTGGAATAAGCCAGTCATGAAGGAACAAATACTGTATGATCCCACCAGGCCTACATGGAAT